TGTGGACTTCAACTCCCAGAATTCCCCAGCCAGCATGGCTGGCTGGGGAATTCTGGGAGTTGAAGTCCACACGTCTTCAAGTTGCCAAGGTCGAGGAACCCTGCACTAGAACATCTCTAACAAATAACCATCCATCTGGCTTGAAGACCTCCAGCAAAGGAGATCTCACCACTTCATGTGGCAACCTGTTCCACTGACTGACACATCTCATACAGCTGGGAAATTCCTACTTAAGTCTAGCCTGAATCCATTTCTTCGTTGTTCCAACCCTTTGTTCTGGTCCTGCTTTCTGGGATAATAGACCACAAGTCCACTTCCTCTTCTGTGTGACACCCTTTCAAATGTTCAAATGACTTCTATCTTATCTCCTGCCAGTCATCTTTTTCTGTAGGCTGAACATACCCCAATCTTTCAACTGTTTCTCTTTAGCCTGATTTCCAGAGCTTTCCACATCTTGGTAAACCTCCTCTGAACTCACTTCTATTTTGGGCTGTCCTTTCTGAATCTTGCTGCCTAGAACTGGACACAGGACTTCAAAGAGGGTCTGGCCAGAGTAGAACAATGACTTCCTGTGATTTAAACCACTGTTTCTCAACCTTGGCAACTTTAAGATGTGTGGATTGCAGCTGCCAGAATTCCCCAGCCAGCATGGGGAATTCTGGAAGCTGAAGTCCACTCATCTTAAAGTTGCCAAGGTTGAGAAACAGTGGTCTCGATGATGTGCTCTTGTTAAGACACCCCGAGACAGCATTTGCCTTTTTAACAACTGCATCACACTGCTGGCTCATATTTAATGGTCATAACTATGTTTCATGGTCAACAAGGACACCCAGATCCCTTTCACATCTACTACGTCCAAGCCAGATCTCCTCCATCCTAACACTGTGGCTTTTATTTTTCCTACTCAGATGCAAAACTTAACACCTCTTTTTGTCAGATTCTGTCCTATTCATTTCAGTCTCCCACTCAAACCTATCTACCTGTTTTTGAATCATAAGGATCAAATCATTATCGGTGTGCTGTTGTGCATTACATTCTGCCAATAGTAAAAATGGGGAGAGGGGGAATTTCTATACATCTCAAGGTAATTATAGCCTACACTTTGCACTTAGATCTGGGCTAAAACTAATCCTTTAACAACGAATGCTTTGCCTTAACAACTTGAATCATATTCCTAAAATATATCTTCAGAAATGTAAAAAAAAAAAATCTATTCTTAGTTTTCCCTTGGGTTGCTTTGATGGTTCCAGAGAGAAGGAAGTTTTAATTTTCCAGATTTAATTTTATACCACAAGAAATAGCTCCTTTCTCAGATGGATGAACGATTAATTTTGTTCCCTGCAAAATTTAACCTAGGATCTTCTCCAGTTAAGCTTCTGCTTAGCTAGACTTTGAAACTGAGACACTCATCTGATTTGTTGTATGGGAGAATGTACAAATATTAATGGTTATAATCATCATAAGTAAGCATTCAAACAATTAGCATAGTCAAAAAGCAGATCTATCTTTGAAGCCAGGTTTCCTGCCATGACCTAATTTGGCGGCCTGATAGAATCCATTCTTGGCTGTTTGATTGACAGGAATTAAGCTAGTAACTTTTTAAAGCAAACTTTCTGCTGAGTTACAAGGCCCGAGCATGCCCACGAAGCAAAGACATTTTTCAGGCTGCATTTATGTCCTTGCAAAGCTATAGAGTATTCAGGGAGAAGGTTTCAACATGTTATTACAGAAATATTTGAACCAGCACTGTAACACTCTGGCAATGCGTGCAAATATCTTACATCTTCTGGCCTCTTCTAACATTCGTCATTCCGTAATTGTTTTTCCCATCCTGGGCTCAGTCAAAAACCAACTTTTCCAAAGTGTGTTGATATCACGGCTCAGATTTCAGATTTTGCTTTCTTGAATTGAGTAGAGATGCAACTAGCGATGAATTAGAAGCTGTTCAAATGGTCCAGCCGATTAACCAGATGGGAAGACGTGGGTTCAAATCGAGTCCAGTGCAAAATATTACAAATAGAAGTACAGCCATTTTCAATAATCCACTGTGGCTATACAAAAAATGTGAGAGGAGCAGAAGAAGGGGCCATTTTCTTTTCCTGCACTGCTTTAGGGACAAATTCTGGGGTATGCCTGTTGCAAACTCATTTTCTTTCCTTTCTTTATTCTGTTATTTATTTATTCGTCAAATGTATAGGCCTGCCCATCTCACAAGCAAGTGACTGTGGGCGGCGTGCAACAAAGCTAAAGGGAATTGATATTTCCAAAACAATTACTATTATTATTAAAAGCTTGAAAATGATGAAAGACATAAAGCTAAAATAAAAAATGAATATGGGGCGAAGAGCAGGTGTTAATAACAGGAATCTCTAAAGCAGCATTTCTCAACCTCGGCAGCTTTAAGATGTGTGGACTTCAACTCCCAGAATTCCCCAGCCAGCCATGCTGGCTGGGGAATTCTGGGAATTGAAGTCCACACTTCTTAGAGTTGCCAAGGAATCTCAAAGTCAGATTTACTCTGTACTACTTTCTAACACCTGCACTCACATCTGGGCTGCGTTCACACACCCCTATCTTAACCTTGCAACTGAATCAGCTCATATTCTGGCTTTGCACAATACATTAATTCCCAAGCTAGTAAAATGAGCCAGGTTCACCCCACATGGTAAGCTACGAAAACTAACCAGATGAACACCAGCTTTATCAGGGTGTGCAGATGCAATCGCTAGAGGGTTGCTGACCTGGAGAAAGGTGCTGTGTGAACCTGGCTTGCACACACACGATGCACAGAGCAGGTGCATGCCAAGGAGAATGACCCATAAGAATAAATGCTAATGCGATTCATTTCTGATATGCACAATTCATTCAGCCAGTCGATGGAGCTATTTGCAGTTTCATTTGCCTAACATATGACCCATGGTTAATTTTCAACTTAGGGTTTTTTTTAGCATGGTGTGAATCCAGTCCAATAGATTGTTCACACTGTATTTGGCAGACCCGGAAAGTATTTTCATACAATTAATTCATAATTATATCACCAGCTTATATGAATCAGGAGTCCGTAGCAGCTTTTCCAACGAACGAACGTTATTAAAAGGGTTCAGCTTTTGCAAACTAAAGCTCATTTCATCAGGTGTACGATAAAAGCATCTTTAATGCCTCTGTAAAAAAACCATAAAAGCAGCTGTCCTCCTACAGTGACGACTGGTTATATGAACAGAGCCCAGGAAACACTTTGCAAGTTTCTGATACGTAACAGAATAATATGGAGTTTGGTTGCCAAATTAACTGAAATTGAAAAAAGACAAAAGCCTGCCTGTAAAAACTATAGAGACAAGATCCTGCGGAAAAAATTAGTTGCAGTTTACCCTTCAGTTTCGCTAGAGAACGACATTATTAGATGCTTTACCAAGTGTATGATTTGATTTAAAAGTTGTAAAAAGCAAAGAGGGAATTTCAGCTGCAGCAGCATTTAGCTTCACAATAGCCCAACTATTAAAACTTAGGTCGTCTTGGAAAATCCCTTTTCTCTATTACGTGCGCATTACTTATTTTGGGGCTCAGAATCGCCTAGCAATGATTCCAGATGTTTATTTAGCTCGGCACTCCCGGGCTGAAGAAAAATACACTTTGCTCTCACACAGGATATGCCACGGCAAATGCAAGGGAAAAGAGCAAAAGGTTGGAGAATGTCAGACAAATTCCAGAAACGGTATAGTGAAATGGCACAAAGGGTGGGAACAAGCTTAAAACTTCAAGACAAATAGCCCAGCACTTTGTTGCCGTGAAAGCGGTGGGTGTAAAATTCACCGTTCGCTGAATCGGGCCAAAGGTCTATTGATTCTAGCACGGTTTCCACAGCAGCCAGCCAGGCATCGTGAAGTCAAGCCATTAGGGTGCAAACGTCCTCTGTGGTTTGCCAGCAGCACTCGATGTCCTCCGAGGTATACTGCAACTGACACTGGAGGCTCCGTTTAGCTCTTTCCATGAGCGCCCCAAGGATTGAGCTAGGCGTTGTCAAAGAGAGGGAATCGCCTACATTTCTAAGCATGGCCCAAGAGCCAGAATTTTTAGAGGGAGCACCCCAGTCGACAGACTGGAGAACTTTGAATTCACCTTGCAGGGCTGAATAGTCATGCTTCCAGAGCCAAATCAGGGCAAATCCTACATTTAAGGAAGGGTTTGCTTTGTCACAAAGCTCATAATTCTCACATCTAGCAAAGTGTGCCTCCCATTTTGGGCTACCCTTCTCATTTTGGGGTGGGCAAAGGAACCCCGGCTTTGCTCCTAGCCCTCTTCTGCTTTTGACAGCAGCTAGGAAGAATGCCAGGGTCCTCTTGCCATTCCCAAAAGGGGTATATTTGCTTATTTAAAACATCTCTTCCTTTTCAGTCCAGTGTCTTCCCTACTAAACTCTTTGCAGTTCTTAGCACACCCCCCATCGCAGATTAAGGTCTTCTGCACCCCCAAAGCAAACAAACAAACTTACATTGTCGATGAGGTTATAATCCATAATCTCAGCCTCTTCCAAATCCCTGGCTAAGAGTTCAGGGTCTTGCTGGCCAGAAACAACCAGGAGACCGCACCCCAACCAAAGGAGCCAGGCCATGCTGGTGAGGAGTTCCCAAACAGCAAGAAGTCAGAAAGGGAGGAACAGGTCTTCTTGCTCCAACTTCTGCCTCCAGCTAGCTGGAAGAGGGACGCATCTGACCTGAGCTGTCTTGGCTGACTGCCTCACCCTCCCTCCTCCCTCGGTCCAGCCCTTTCGCAGAGCAGAAAGCTAAGGCTGAACGTTCCTTGCTTGAGTTCAGTTTAGCAGAAGGTTGGCGAACCTCATGAGAACCTCCACCTCAGTTTTCGGTGGCCGTGCGTCCGCTTTCGCTCAGGGACCGACTGTGCTTGGAGTGTCCTGCTGTAACAAAAGCCGCCTTTGCCAAAAGTTTCTGAAGAGCCTCATTTCTGAATGATTGCCTCTGGATGTTTTCCCACCACCAGACTGGGTTCATGCAAAAGACATACCGCCCTAAAGCTGGGTCCTTTGTTGGGGGTCTCCTAATACACAATGCCCAAACGAAGAACCCCGTTGTTGGTTCGTGGGATGGGCTAGATCCCAAGACGTATGAAGACCCCCACCTGAGAAGAAAGCCAGCTTGAAATAAAAATGGGTGACTAAGAAACTAAGTGACTAACATAACTGGGTTATGCTGCTGGTGCTTGCTGTTGGTATAGTCTACATTAGGTTGGACCAGAATTGACCACATGAGCTGGCCACTTTAAGCAGTTTCCAGGGTCCTGATATTGCAACAGGAGCACATCCTTCTGAGTTTCTGAAGGGGCAGCCGTGAGCTGACCCACACAGCCGTGGTGCTCCCATGAGACGTCGTGCAGCACTGTAGGCCCTCAAATCAGCACGCCTTGGCTAACAAGGTCATCATGCTCAGATATAGGAACGCTGATTTGGAAGTGTGCCCACGGTGGAACAGCTCCCTGGCTGGGCTCCAGGTCTTGCTAGCAGAGGACCAACTGGCTAGGAAAAGGACTGATGCACTGGGATAGCCAGCGTTCATATAGTGCAGTGTTTCTCAACCTTGGCAACTTTAAAGATGTGTGGACTTCAACTCCCAGAATTCCCCAGCCAGCATGGCTGGCTGGGGAATTCTGGGAGTTGAAGTCCACACATCTTCAAGTGGCCAAGGTTGAGGAACACTGTTCTAAGGGCTGTTTTGCTTGCTCTAGGTGTCCCATGGTTGGAGCAGCCAGGGAAGTGAGCCTGCTGGTGCTCAAGAGTTGAAGTCCACACATCTTCAAGTGGCCAAGGTTGAGGAACACTGTTCTAAGGGCTGTTTTGCTTGCTCTAGGTGTCCCATGGTTGGAGCAGCCGGGGAAGTGAGCCTGCTGGTGCTCAACGGGGCAGACGTGTTCCCTGAATGGTTGCCTGTTCAGACAGACGGCCTGTTTGCACAGTTGGTCGGTCCCTTGGGCACCTTCTAGAAAAGTACTGCAGTCATAACGGAAGTTTTGCATGGTTTCAGGCAGATGTCAGGACCCGGGCTGTGAGACCAACATCTCACTTAGCCACTGGTGGCTTCTGAGTCACATCGTGAAATTGGTTGCCAGCTGGCTCAAAGAGCAAACCGTGGTGGGACTCCGATCCAGACAGCTGCTGCTGGAGCCTGGGAGACCTCCAGACCAAGGAGGGAACAACAGCAAAAACTGAGATTGGGGAGAACCTTCTCTGCAACTTTTTCTCCTTCTGGGAATTCATTTGCTAAAGGGGGCACTGCCAAGCAGCCAGCATCTTCTCTGCTACCACTCTGTGGGCAAGCTCACTCTGAGGTCTTCGATGGCAGCTGGCTGGGCCAAAAACAAATGGGCGAAAATAGGAGGCAAACGTGTTTCTTAACATCTGCAAATCCAGCTGCTGTTTCATTGCTGTCTTGGAGTAAAGAACAGGGCACTGGGAAGCGAAGGGGTAACTGGAAGGAATGCGCGTCAAACTTTGTAGTCTCTGATGAAGAAATAGGAATGTTGATGCTTGACTTTAAGACAGTGAGGCTATCTGGGGGTGAGCACAACACACTTACCCATGGTTAACCAAATTGCTCAATTTCCTAGGTTTGTGCAACCTTCTAAACCATAAACTAACCATACTACTTTGCTTTGTACAACAAGCAAGGCCGAATGCCAGTGGCTGGTTGATGGTTAGGTGAGTTGCACACACAGCCTGTCAACGTTTGGACCTAATGCTTTTGTTTCTCAGGGTCCTGTGCCCATCTCAAAATTTTTCCCCAATTCTCTGCCATCCCAGTTACCTTCCTTGAATCTCCAGTCCTGGGAACCGACTGGAGGAAGAGAGAGAGAGAGCTCTTTTCCCTCCTCCCTCCTTCCCAGTATTAACAACCTTGGAAAGTCAAGTTCTGCCATTGTCCTCATGAGCAACCAGGCCAGAAATAAGGGTTATAAATTACAGCTGCTGAGATTTCATTTAGATGAACTTCCCAAAGGCAAGATCAGGAACAGTGGAATGGTCTGTCTGTAAAGGTTGTGGATTTTCCATCTCAGGAGGGTTTTCAGAAGAGGTTCTGGTAGATGGTTCCACTGGTTTTCCTGCACATTGCAGAGGGTTGGAGTAGATGATCTTTGAGGTCCTGTCCCACTCCTGCATTCTATGTTGGGTTGGCAAAAGGCAGGGATCTGAAGGGAAGGGGGAGAAGCACAGGGTGGGGTGAGTGGTGTGGATAAGTCATGGAAAGAATCACAGCCAGGCATTTGTGCCTGTTTTATTTTTCCTTTTTTCCGTTAAATGTACTTAACGATGATACAGCGCATACAGATATACAAATCTCGATACGGATGAATATTCATTTCCCTAAGTTCATCAACAGTACCCTGTGCTTGCTTTATTGTTATTGGGAAGTCAAGTTCTGCCATTGTCCTCATGAGCAACCAGGCCAGAAATAAGGGTTATAAATTACAGCTGCTGAGATTTTTAGTTTTATTATAATCCTTTTATTTTATTTAAAACAAAGGTATATTTTTTAAAAAAAGATATTATCTATAAATAAAGAGCATTCGTGCCTGTTTGATGGCATTGCACAGCCGTTCCTTGGCAGAGAGATCTGCGTGCATTTGTCCTGCTCAAAATTGTTGAATGGGGCAATCCTTTCCCTTAGCAGTCTTTCTCAATCTTGACCACTTTAAGATGTGTGGACTTCAACTCCCAGAATTCCCCAGCCAGCTGAGGGAATTCTGGGAGTTGAAGTCCACACGTCTTAAAGTTGTCAAGATTGAGAAAGACTGCTAAGGGAAAGGATTGCCCCATTCAACAATTTTGAGCAGGACAAATGCACGCAGATCTCTCTGCCAAGGAACGGCTGTGCAATGCCATCAAACAGGCACGAATGCTCTTTATTTATAGATAATATC